GTAGGCTAGAGAGAAAAGAGATCTCAATGCAAATCTCCATGCCAATAAGAACATACATGTCAGCTAGCCAGATAACTAAGAAATTCAAAGTCGATTTCATGCCCCATCAAGAGCGCTTGAAAAGGTCATGGTTTCACGTTTTATGAATTGTTTTGGGTAAAGCTATTATCCTCGTAATGCTTTCCTTTTTTTGTCCTTTCTAGAGCTATTTACTGTTTTTTTCTTTCCTTTGATGTCAAAATTTAGTTGATATCTTTAGCTATATTTTGCTGTATCTTTTGATTCAATTTTGTTGTTCTGATGTACTCAGTGTGTGTTGATGTTATTGTTGTTGTTTCCTTTGTCTAATTCACTGTTTTTTAACTATTTTTTCATCAGAGATGTTCGTCAACCTCTCTCTCAAATTCGACTGAGTGTTTCTATGTCCCTTGGAGCTGGACAGATCATCTTCATCGCCGGAATAAACGCCACAGAAAACAAAGTTAGTGGGCTCTCTTTCTATCCATAGAAGGAATTTACTCTTTGCACCGTAAATATCTTGTCGAAAGGAGCACGATAACAATACGAAAACTTTTTCTTTTGACAGGCTGCCTGTGTTACAATAGCAGCTCTGATGCAGTATTTCTTGATGGCCGCTTTCTGTTGGATGCTGATCGAGGCAATTTATCTTTACTTCTTCGTTGTGAAAGTTTACAACATTAACACCAAGATGCACATGTATCACGTCATCTCATGGGGTGAGTTTATGATTTTACAACATGCACTTGTAGCTGTAACAATGGATGCTTTCGGATCACCAAATCTGGTGTTGTCATCCATTGAAGTGTTAAGATTTCCTTTCTTTCTTTATGGGTAGGTCTTCCAGTGATCATGGTGGTCATTTCACTTAGCATCGCTGCCGGGAAAGAAGGGTTACAAAGCTATACGAGTGATAAATAGTAAGGAAATTCAACAGTTTCTTATTGCTCTTCTTCTTTTGTTTCATTTTATTACATTATTTCTTTTGTCTTTTTGTGCATAGTTTGAAATCAGTATCATTTCATTCGCTAAAAATTTGGCTTTCTTTCTTGTCTTTCACTTCTTCGAGTTCAGTTGCTGGCTTTCCTCGACTAACAACCTGACCTGGATATTCGCCGCCTTTGTGGCTTTCATTGAAACTGTGAGTTAATGATTCATGTTGGTGATTGTGATTGGTACACCTGGACTAATTTCTGTCAAAAGACTTTTTTTTCTCTGCTCTTTAAAAAGCGGATTAAACCTTTAAATCCCAGAAGTGATCAACATGAAACTTCTCCTTGTGATATCCTTTCATTAAACAGCAAACAGCTGATGAGAATATTTAAACTTATCAGGTAGAAGTTGTTGCCTTGATCTAACACCAGATTACAGCTTCAAATATTCTCCAACTTTTACTACATAGTGTAAAAAAAAAGCTTCTTCATCCTCCATGTTAATTTTCTAACACTGTTTTGCATTGATATACCAAGATGAGTTTTTCGCGCTAAAGTTACTCATTTGAAAAAATTAATAATGATAAAAACATTGAAAAAGATAAAACGAGCAGGAAGAGTAGAAGATATTGAATTTATCTAATTTAACACGAGGCTTCACTTTGCATAGTTCATTTAGTTTAGACACTTTTGTTCGCGATTTCTTTAGCTCATTGTCAGAGCATTCAAGCTCATAATCTAGGTACCCTGGCTGGGAGTTCTTTTCCCTGTAAATGTCTCTTCATTCCCCTCTCCTTACCAAACTAATGACGTCTTTGGCAAGGATCCCCTCCTGCCTTGGCTATTTGACAACCATTTCTAAATAATCAATTTATTGCTATTGTATTCTTCAGCTCAACATCTTGATACTCGTACGCGTTATAAAAGAGATCCCCAATTTGGTGCAGCCAATAGCAGAAGACAACCATTTTCAGCAAATACGGTAAGATTTACATCATAAAACTAAAACTAAATAGTGGAAAAGATTGTCATGTGCTCCTGTGAGGCGATATTTGCCTAACCTCCTCATTCCTTTATCAGGAGGGCATTCCGATATCTAACAATTACAATTTTTTGTCAAAAGAAAAAAAAAAGAATGGTGTTTTTTTTGGTTGTTTTTGACTCCTAGACTTGGCATCAAAGCATGCTTGGTGATAATTCCCCTACTGGGTGTCACGTGGCTATTTGGTCTCCTTTCGCCAGTGCATAAAGCTTTCGCCTACATCTTCACCATACTCAACTCTACTCAGGTGAGTGTTGAATGGCGTCTCTCAAAAATCATTCAATCTCGATTAAATTTTTTAACCAGGCGATACAACATTACAATTGTTACATGATATTTATTGGAATTA